CCGGGACACCCCCAAACCACTCTCAGCTCCCCCCTGCACCACCCCAAAACTGCCCCTTCAACCCCTCCATCATTGCCGGGACATCCCCATCCCTTTCCCCCCCACACCCAGCGTGTCCGGCGGGGCCGGAGGGGCCGGAGGGGCCGGGGCCGGAGGCGGGGGTGGACGCGGGGCTGGCGGCGGCGCGGGAGCAGCAGCTGCAGCGGGAGCTGGTGGCCCTGAAGCAGCAGCAGCAGCTCCAGAAGCAGCTGCTCTTCGCCGAGTTCCAGAAGCAGCACGAGCACCTCACCCGCCAGCACCAGGTCCAGCTCCAGAAGCACCTCAAGGTGGGCGGGGGGGGATGTGGGGGGCGATGGGGATGTGGGGTGGCACCAATCTGGGGGTGATGGAGCTGTTGGGGATGGAGCTTTTGGAGGGGCATTGGGGGCGATGGAGCTGTGGGGTAGCACCGATGGGGGGGTGGAGCTGTGGGGAGGGATATTGGGGATGATGGAGCTTTTGGAGGGGTATTGGGGTTGATGGAGCTGTTGAAGGGGGTTGGAGCCATGGGGTCGGTGGGGGACCCTGGGAGCGATGGAGCCCTGGGGTGTCACTGATGGAGGGTGACACTGGAGGGGGGGGGGGACACCGGCGGTGCCAGCGCCATGGGCCACCCCGTTCTTGGGGCGCTGGGGGTGTCACCCCGGGAGGCTGGCGAACAGGAGCGGCGGGGCCGGGCCCGGGGGTCCCATCGCGGTGCTCCCCCCGCCCCACAGCAGCAGCAGGAGGCTCTGGCCGCCCGCCGGCAGCAGGAGCTGGAGCAGCAGCGGCAGCGGGAGCGGCAGGAGCTGGAGCAGCAGCGCCTGGAGCAGCTCCAGAGCCTGCGCCCCAAGGACCGGGGCCGAGACAGTGAGCTGGGGGTCTGGGGTGGGGAATGGGGTGTGGGGAATGGGGTACAGTGAGCTGGGGGGGCTGGAGTGGGGTCTGGGGAATGGGGTACAGTGAGCTGCGGGGCGACTGGAGGGTCTGGGGTTTCTGTGGGGCTCTAGGGTGAGATGTGTTGCCCCCCCCGACCCCCCCTCTGCCCCCAGGCGCCATCGCCAGCACGGAGGTGAAGCTGAAGCTCCAGGAATTCCTGCTCAGCAAGACAAAGGATCCAGGCCCCGGCCCCCCCAACCATTCCCTCCCCCAGCACCCCAAATGTTGGTAGGTGCCCCACAGGACCCCCCCCGAGGCACCGTGGGGGTGGCCCGGGTGTCCTAGCGGGGTCTGCGCCACCTTTCCCCCCCTCAGGGCTCACCACACCTCGTTGGACCAGAGTTCCCCCCCCCAGACCGGCAGCCCGGGGACCCCCCCGTCCTACAAACTCCCCCTCCTCGGCACCTACGACGGCCGCGATGATTTCCCGCTGCGCAAAACCGGTGCGTGCGTGCGGGCGGGCGGGCGGGGGGTGCCGGTGACACGCTGGGGCGCCACATTTCGGGTGACACGTTTGTTTGGGGGTCCCCAGCGTCGGAGCCCAACCTGAAGGTGCGGTCGCGGCTGAAGCAGAAGGTGGCGGAGCGGAGGAGCAGCCCCCTCCTGCGGCGCCGCGACGGCTCCGTGCTCAGCGCCTTCCGCAAGCGCCACGTCGAGATCACCGGTGCGTGGGGACACGCGTGGGGACACGGGCTGCGCTCGCGACTGCCACTCGGTGTCCCCAAGTCACCGCGTGCTTCCCCAGAGCCCCCCGGGGCTGGTGGGACACAGGGCGGGGTGTCCGTGTGTGACACGGTGCAGTGTCCCTGTGTGTGACACACAGAGCAGTGTCCCCCTGTGTCACACCCTCGTGTCCCGCAGTGTCGTCGGTTTGCAGCAGTGCCCCCGGGTCGGGGCCCAGCTCCCCCAACAGCTCCCACGGTGCCCACAACGGCCTGGCCGCCTCTGTCCCCAACATCCACAGCGAGGTACGGGGGACAGGGATGGGGACAGGGACGGGGATGGGGACACGATTGGGGGGGGGGCTGTGAGTGTGTTGGTGACATGTCGTGTCCCCACCCGTGTGTTGATGCCACCTTTACCCTGTGGTGCCACAGCAGCTCCTGCCCCAGCCCCACGCCCTGGCCCTGGACGGGGCCCAGCTCAGCCTCTACACGTCCCCGTCGCTGCCCAACCTGTCCCTGGGGCTGCAGGCCACTGTCACCGTCACCAGCGCCCACCTCCCCGTGAGTGGGGGGCTTGGGGACCCTGCGGGAGGGGGGTCACTGGGGCTGGACACCCCGTGGTGGGGACATGGGGACACCACAAAGAGAACATGAGGATTCCCTGGGGGCGCTGGGACATGGGGACACCGTGGTGGGGACATGGGGACACCATGGCGGGTGGCACTGGGACATGGAACCCCATGGAAGGGGGTATGGGGATACAGTGGGGGGTGGCATGGGGGCCTGGCACCCTATATCAGCTATGTGGGGACCCCACAGTGACACCCCTGTCCCCGCAGGTGTCCCCCAAGCTGTCGCCACAGGCGGAGGGCGAGCGGCCGGGGGTGCCCCCGGGGGTGTCCCCGCTGCGTCCCGGGGCCGCCCTCACCGGGAAGTTCCTGAGCACGTCCTCGATCCCGGGGTGCCTGCTGGGGGTGGCCCTGGACGGGGACGCCCCGGCCGGGCCCCCATCGCTGCTGCAGCACGTGCTGCTGCTGGAGCAGGCACGCCAGCAGAGCACCCTCATTGCTGGTGAGCCCCCAGTTCCCCCAGTGCTCCCTCAGTGTCCCCCCAGTTCCCCCAGTCCTTCCTCAGTGTCCCCCAGTTTGCCCTCAGTTTCCCCCCCAGTCCTGCCCCAGTTTGCCCTTGGTTTCCCCCCCAGCCTGCCCAGTTACCCCCAGTCCTGCCCCAGTTTGCCCTCGGTCCCCCCCCAGTCCTGCCCCAGTTCGCCCCTCAGTCCTTCCCCACTTCCCTTCCCATCCTTTCCCAGTTCCCCCCACTCTTGGCCGTGTTTCCTCCATTCCTTCCCCAGCTCCCCCCGCCCTCCATTACAGCCCCCCACGCTCCCCCCAAGCCTCTCGGGGGTTCTGGGGGGTCGTGGGGAGACCCCCCTGACCGCGTGTCCCGCAGTGCCCCTGCACGGGCAGTCCCCGCTGGTGACGGGGGAGCGCGGGGGGGGTCCCCGCGGCAGCAAAGCGCCGCGACACCGACCCCTGAGCCGGACCCAGTCCTCGCCGCTGCCCCAGAGCCCCCAGGCGCTGCCCCACGGGCCCCTCCAGCACCACTTCCTCGACAAGCAGCAGGTCCAGCTGGGCAAGGTGGGCTGGGGGGCCCGGGGGGCGTGTGGGGTGAGGATGGGGTACGGGGTGGGAATGGGACTGGGGCGTGGGGGAGCTGTGCCACTGAGCCCCAAAACACAGCGGGGAGGGGCGGTGCGAGCAGGGAAACTGAGGCAGAGGATGGGAAATTGGGGGAGGACTGGACAGGGGTGTGTGGGGCACGGGGTGGGTACAGGGGGGGCCATGGGGTTTGGGAGGCGGAGTCACTGAACCCCCGTGCCCCCCCAGTTGCTCCCCAAAGGGGGGGAGCTGGCACGGCAGCCCCCCACCCACCCCGAGGAGACGGAGGAGGAGCTGACGGAGCAGCAATCGCCCCCCCCGGGTGAGAGAGGCCCCCCCGGACCCCCCCTCGGCCCCCCCCTCGCCCTCGTGTCCCCAGAGGCCGGGGACCCCCCGGAGCAGCCTCAGGACCCCGAGGGCTGCCAGGAGCCGGGTGACAGCGGGGACGAGGCCGAGGCCACCGGGGACCCCGACGTCACTGAGCTGGGGGTCACCTACAAGCAGGTGAGACTTTGGGGGCTCCCTCCTTCCCCCCCCCCAAACCGCAGCACGAGCACCCCTTGCCCCCCGCTGTCCCCCCGGCCGTGTCATGTGTCCCCTCCCCCGTTTTTGGGGACCCAGCCGCCCTGCGCTGCCGCAGCGATGACTCGGAAGGGTCGGTGACTCATCCCCCTCCCCT